TCCAAATGCAAATTGGAATGGATAAGCTAAAATATTCAACACTGTCACCAGCAAAGCAATAAAGCTCCGTTTTTTTCCGACTGATTCTCTCGAAATATCGATAAAGATCCGATCTTTTAAGTATCCAGAACAATCCAATAAGTAGTAATCAAGAAAGCCAATTCCAGTTTACTTCATCGCAACCCAGACAGACTAATGAAATGAAAAGCTTCGGAACAACCCAAGAAACAGAGCAAAGAACAAAAACATGTAAGATTTACCATCAACTGATTCAAATTTCTCGCCTGTTTCGATCTCTCCTCCTTTGATAATTCGATCCCTCTTCGTTGGCTTTTCTCAGACCAACACTAAGAACAACCACTCGTCGTCGTTTTACACTTGGATAATAAAAAACCAGACCGCCAGAGAGAACCGGTACAATTCGATCCGGTTTATTCGTATATAATAGAGCAAGAAAGGTTAGCTATTTCGGATTCTCTGGTTTCAAGGAGAAATTGGAGCATGAAGTGCCTAAAGCCAATAAGGCGTTTTAGGTTCCATTGAGTCCGATTAGGTTTTATTCAACAATAGATCAAGACAAAAAGAAAACAGAACAACACTCTATTATTACACAAGACAAGAAGAGGAGGTGGTTTTTCCAAGAATGAGTCTGGTTCTTGAATCTTCCTTGGGGTTACGAAACTGCTCTCCTAGTCCGAAATGAGCCATCAAAAGCCAAGCAAAGTTGATCAATTCACCACCTTTGTTGATTTGTGCTGCATGTTGTTTAGAGTCACAGTGAGTTGCTCCATAGCAAAGCATCTCCACCCACACTTTACTCACTACTCCCCACATCTCAACATCGTCTTCTTGAATTTGTATCCGTCGAAGCTCATTTGCAAGCATGCTCGCTTGGAACAGTACTGACTTGCTTCTATACACTTTGGCGTTCTCGTTTCTTTGCTCAACTTCTTTATAGGAAGCCAGGATTTCTTCACAGGCTTCTCTTGATTCCTCAACATGTGTTCTCTGAAACAACTTTTTAACCTCTTGAAGGTTTTTGGCTTCTGCTATTGCATCTCTGAATCTTACCTTATCAATTCCCGCAACGGTTGACATCAGGGAAGGCTGCGCGATTAAGAGGTACATCATGTAGTCTGAAAGTGTTTTGCTCAACTCTTTGTATCTGACATTTGTTTCTGCTTCTTCTGTTTGGTGTAAGAGCTCAGTGGCAATGTGCCACACCAGAATGCTCTGATCGTAATCCACTTCAGTAACATACGGCAGCAATGTCTCATAATAACCTTCGATTTCCATATCGAGCAGAATCCAGTCACCTCTAGCTGAATATATATGGCTGGCATTTTCCAAGCGAATAACCAAGTTGGATTTATGCTTAACCTCTTCAAATATAAATTCCCAAAGCTCTTTGGTGAGGCATGTATGCGATGTGAATACTATCTCGTTTACCTGATCTAGGATGCCGAAGAATTCCAAGAGATAGTTGATCAAAGGAATTCCAAACCAGAATCTAAGAAAAAGCTTGACAGGGTAAAGAGCATAATATTTCACCGGATCCTTGATTAACAGAGAAATGATGTATAGGTTCATCTTCTTGCGGAGGTCACTCAAGACGGTGGAAGTTAAGTCTATTACTCCGATGATGATGACGACCGTGTGATATATGTACAATCTTCGAACAATGGAGTCGAAGAAACGGTGTATGTAACTTTTGGTATGGTGGATTCTCTTTGGTTTTATCCTCAGGGAGGAGTCAATCAGGTTGTATGCATATATGCACTCAGACCATCTGCGAAATATAAAGTGTCTATCAGGCACCCTGTGACAGCGTTCTTTCCTCTCGTGACACGAGCACTGCTTCCACTTCAGCTCCCTGAAACCAAGGAGCCAATTGAGAAATCTGTCGAACCAGGTATCTTTCTTGTGCACATCCTCCTTAGGCTTCCTCAATCTAGCAAATGTCCAGTCGGATAGACAGAAAATGAGGATTGAAATGAGATCAAGTGCTATTCCACCAAAGATCAAAGCATAAGTAAGTGCAACATCAAAACCATCATATCCATCTTTCCTCGATGTTTTGAAGATGTAGAGGGATGCAAATAGGCAACACAAGGCTATACATCGGAAAGCAGCTCCGATCCAGGTGTGCAGGATATCAGTTTTGGTGAACAGTGTTCCATACATGAAGCTGAGCTCCACCTCTAGAATCTTCAAAGCCTCTTCCCCTGACAATGCTTGGAAAAATTGCTTGCTTTCTCTCCACTTCTGAGAGCTATAGATGAAATCTACCACAAGACCTTTGTAGACATTGAAGTACTTATAAGCATATTGAACAACCTGGAGATGGCTCATAACCTTTGGCCTCACTGGTTCTTGCTCTTTCTCAGGCTCCTCCACCCTGACCAACTGGCTACGCTCTCTTGAAATCGTTCTAATTTTGTGTTCCTCCATGAACCTCACATAGTCGATTCCAGGTTCGGGTTCCCCAAGCATCGAATCCTTGAACCTTTCGAGGCTTGCTCCACGCATTGCACTTATCCTCTCAACATACTTGATGACTCCAGCCACAAGCATGAGGGATGTTGGTACCAAGAGACTGTTGGGTATTGATAGCAAGAACACGTAGAGAGTAGCAATGAATTGGCACACAAGACCGAACAAACTCCTAAGCCAGAGCTCGTTATCCTCCAGAGCAAGAGCTGTGATTGTGTCAGGACCACCAAGATGCAAGAGAAGGAACGTTGCCCAGAACGCTAAGAGCTCGTTGGTCTTGGGGGACTCGTTGGGTTCAGGTTTGTCTCCTGAGCTATCTGAGATCTGTCCCACGGCATAGTCAGCTGCCCAGTTGGCTAAAAGGTAAGATGACCAGATGAGAAGCCGGAAAAGTATCCTCGGTGTTCGTTTTCGATTTGGTGAGAGAAGAACAAGGAATGTCTGAAGGACAAGACTGAAGATCACAAGGCCACGGATGTTCCATTTTTCCCAAACATCTCTCACTGCCTTGAAACCGGCCTGAAGAAAGATTTTTGAGACCCCCAACTTCATTTACAACAAAGAGTAATTTGGTTTCGTCTTCTAATCTTGGATTTTGATTTGCACTAATCAAATAGTATCAAAAAGGAAATAACTTGTGTTTAACATTGTGTCTTTTTTGAATCTTTTTCTTATTCGTACTAGTGAAAATTCAGACGTTGTGCCCCACCACCATATGGTAAGGTATCTCTCTCTGTTCCCTCAATTTTATGATCTTAAGAAACCGTATTTTTCTTTTTAAAAGAGTTTGTGATTTTCGTTTTTACTTATGACTAAGAAATAAGAAGAAATACCTGCACGACTATAACTATTCAAAGATGGAAGTTCTGTTTATTCATATAGTAAAGGTTGT